TCTTTCCAGAACAGCTCTGAGAGAACCTGTGACTGACCCAAGGTCACCCAGCAGCTGAATGCGGAGGAGTGGGGAATCAAACCCAGCTCTCCCAGATTAGAGTCCGCACTCTTAACTGAAAGAAAGAAAGAAAGAAAGAAAGAAAGAAAGAAAGAAAGAAAGAAAGAAAGAAAGAAAGAAAGAAAGAAAGAAAGAAAGAGGTCCCCAAACTTGTTGAGCTTGTGGGCACGTCTGGAATTCGGACCCAGTTTGGCGGACGTACCGACAAAATGGCTGCCGTAGGGGGTGGAGCCAGCTACAAAATGGCTGCCGCAGAAGACGAAGCCCACTGTGCCCAAAAGAGCGAGGGTCTGCATAACTCCAACAGTAACTCTTCAACAAATTTCCACTGGCCAATCAGAAGCCCTGCCAGCCAAAAGCCCCGTCTGGCCCCGCCCACTTTCTGAGAGCAGAGCCCCAGGGCGCCCTGTTGGGGACCCCTGCTGTACATGCCGCATTAGACATGAGAAGGACCTCCAAGCATCCTTTACAGTTCCCCTCTTCCACCAGGTCCTCTTCCATCCTTCTCCACTGAAAGTCAGGCAGAAACTCAGTGGTGTAGCTCTCAACCACTGCCTGTCTCTGCGCTGGGGGAAACAGAAAAAGTCCCAGACTCGGAGAGGTGTCAACCCTGCAGGGGTGTTCGTTCACTTATTATTTCTTTACTCTGTTTATATCCCGCCTTCCTCCCCCCCATGGGGACCCTAAGCGGCTTACATCACTCTCCTCCGTTTTAGGCTCACAACAACCCTACGAGGTAGGTTTAGGCCGAGATCACCCAGCCAGCTTCCACGGCAGAGGGGGGACTCGAACCCGGGTCTCCCAGACCCTAGTCCGACACTTTAACCACTACGCGAGTCTTCCCAGAACCCGGGAAGATCTGGAGGGAGCCCAGGCCAACTCGGACTAACTCGTTCGACTAGGGCCTCCCGGGAAAAGAACATGATGTAAAACCACGCGGTGTTGAAATCTCTCGTTTATTTACTGGCCCCGAGGGGGTCTGACTCTGGAGAGAGAGAGAGGAACCGGCTGCTCTAACCCTCCTCCCCAACTTTGCAGCCCACGAGCATACCTCTCCGGCCGGCGTTCCGTCCCGGTCTCCTTTCTGGACTGTCGAGGGTGTTTGGCACCCCTGCCCCGCCCCGCAGGGAGGTTGGATCGCTGACCTCGTTTCTGATAAGAGCGAGAGCAGAACTGGCTCGGCACGTCCTCGCTCTCCGAGCCAAGGAGTTTCTGCCTTTCGCAAGACGCCCTGCCACTGGGAGCCAGAATTTCTTTCTCCTTGGCGGGGCGGCTGTACCTGCCAACCTCTGATGGGCTGGGACACAGGTAGACAGGTGTATAAGGAGGGAAAGCCCTGCACCATCCCCTTCTCAGGTCTGACAGGTGATTGGCAGGCGTCAGGCCCAGACGAAGAAGGAGGCAATTTAGAATGGACAGAATTCCCTTTATAGAAGCGCTTTGCACTCGTGTGTAGGTGTGGTTGCTGCAGTGTTCCCTCTAAGCTGAGTTTAGTGTGAGCTACCTCGCAGTTTTCTAGCCTCCGGCTCACGCATTTTTGCCTTTGCTCAGGAAGGAGGGCTCCAGGGCAGACTAAGTGATGCAGCAGCCAAATCACTCGCTCACAACTTTCATGCCAGTAGCTCACAAAGTAGAACTTTTCCTCACAGGACTCCATAGCTTAGAAGGCGCATTGGTGAGATGCAGTGTTCCCTCTAAGCTGAGTTAGTGTGAGCCAGCTCACAGTTTTTTAGCCTCCGGCTCACGCATTTTTGCCTTCGCTCAGGAAGGATGGCTCCAGAGCAAACTGATTTATACAGCAGCCAAATCGCTCGCTCACAACTTTCATGCCAGTAGCTCACAAAGTGGAACTTTTGCTCACAGGACTCCATAGCTTAGAAGGCGCATTGGTGAGATGTCCTTAAAAGTTTGCTTTCTTGGCCTCACGAGCAAGCAGGCGTTGTTTGTGTCTCTGTGTGTGTCTGTGTGTGTGTGTAAGCGCTTCTTTTTAAATGCCAGTTCCTGGGGTACCCCAAGAGCAATGCTTCCTCTAAGCTGTGTGGAGTCTTGTGAGCAAAAAATGCCACAACTTTAATGCCGGTAGCTCACCAAGTAGAATTTTTGCTCACAAGACTCCACAGCTAAGAGGGAGCATTAGCTCGTAGGTAGGTATATATGTAATGCGAGAGAAACTCATGGGGGGAAAGTATAACATCAAAGAAAGCAAAAGCAGTCGTGACCAAATTACTAACGTTGTTTCAGTTCTGCCAGAGCTGTCCTTGAAAAAGAGCAGTTTCTGTCAAGAGCTCTCTCAGCCCCACCTACCTCACAGGGTGTCTGTTGTGGGGAGGGGAAGGGAAAGGAGTTTGTCAGTCGCTCCAAGACACCTTTGGGTAGTGAAGGGCGGGGTATAAATCCAATCTCTTCTTCTTCTTCCTCTTCTTCTTCCTCTTCTACTTTTTCGGCAGTCAGTTTGGTGTCGTGGTTAAGTGCGCGGGCTCTAATCTGGGAGAACCAGGTTTGATTCCCCACTCCTCCACTTGCACCTGCTGGATGGCCTTGGGCAAGCCGTAGTTCTGATAAGAGCTGTCCTTGAAAAAGAGCCATTTCTGTCAGAGCTCTCTCAGCCCCGCCTACCTCGCAGGGTGTGTCTGTTGCCTCCTCCTCTTCTTCTTCTTCTTCTTCTTCTTCTTCTTCTTCTTCTTCTTCTTCTTCTTCTTCTTCTTCTTCTTCTTCTTCTTCTTCTTCTTCTTCTGTTATACTCAGTCCATTTCAAACCTGAATAATTCATGCACAAAGGCTTTTTTAAATAAAGTCACATAATCCTGTTACTGTCCCAATACAAAGGTGTGTCGATACATACTGAGAAAGTCCCCAAAGAAAATAACTTCTCGCAATTTCAGTGAGTCGTATTCTTCAGACAATTCGAGTATCATTTTCAAAAAATTCATCTTCCAGGGACCATTCAGGAGAGCAATCAGTTGAAGAATCAGTAGCCGGGACCATTGACAAGATGAATTTTTTTGAAAATGACACCCAAATTGTCTGATGAATACGACTCACTGAAATTCATTTTCTTTGGGGACTTTTCCAGTATGCCTCAGTATACCCTTGGATCGGGACCGTAATACGATTATGTGACTTTATACAAGACTACTTTGTGCATGAATTATCCAGATTTGAAATTTCTTGAGTCTGATTGAAACAACATTACCCACCGTGGCTGCTGCTCTGTTCAGATAAGATGGCACCGCTAAACAAAAACTTCCATGTACACAGGCAGTCTATCACCGCAGGAGGTCTGTTTCATTCCTGCCTTGCTCGAAATGCTCTGTTTGGCTGACAGTTGCCAACCTCCAGGTGGTGGCTGGAGATATCCTGGGATTACAACCAGTGTTCCCTCTAAGCTGAGTCAGTGTGAGCCAGCTCACAGTTTCTTAGCCTCCGGCGCACACATTTTTTGTCTCAGCTCAGGAAGGAGGGCTCCCGAGCAGACAAATTCATGCAGCCACCGAATCACTCGCTCACAGCTTTAATGCCAGCGGCTCACAAAGCAGAATCTTTGCTCACAAGACTCCACAGCTTAGAGGGAGCATTGCTCACAGGGTGTCTGTTGTGGGGAGGGGAAGGGAAAGGAGTTTGCAAGCCGCTCTGAGACTCCTTTGGGAAGTGAAGGGCGGGGGATAAATCCAATCTCTTTTCCTCTTCTCTTCGCACAACCTGGGGTTGGTTTGTGGAATTCGCTGCTATGGGATAGAGATGGCTTACGCCAAGGGTCCGCAGCCCCCTTTTTGAGCTCGTGGACACCTTTGGAATTCTGACGTCGGGTGGTGGGCACAACTACAAAATGGCTGCAGCAGGAGGCGGAGCCAAATTACAAAATGGCTGCAGCAGGAGGTGGAGCCACTTAGAGGGAGGACTGATTACAACTAATCTCCAGGTGACAGAGGTCATTTCCCCAGAAGAAGAGGGCTGCTTTGGAAGGTGGATTCTGTGGTATTATACCACACTTAAGTCCCTCCCCTCCCCAAGCCCCACCTTCCTTAGGCTCCACCCCCAACATCCCCAGGTATTTCCCAACTCAGAGCGGTCAACACTGTGCTTGGAGCTGCTGTAAAGGAGCAGAGCGAATGAACAACCCCAAAGGACACGCCAGCAGCCTGTTTCTTCTTCCTCCCAGGGGGGGAGCCTCCATTTGCTGGAGCGGAAAACCTGACGGCAGCCTCCCAGACCCTCGAGGCCACGCAAACAGGCAGCGTGTGCTTAGGAAACGGCTTCCTGTGTCTCTGGGGGAGCCAGACTCCGCCCCAGTAAACACCCACTGCCTCCTGGCACCTCCCGAGGGAACCTGTCGCCATCTGATATCTGAGCCTCCTTAACAGGCAAGAAGGAGAGTTTGGAGCACGGGGGGGGGGTTGTCATGGCCAGGGCCGGCTCACCCGCTAGGCGAACTAGGGATTCGCCTAGAGCATGAGCCGGCCCGAGGGGCGCCAAACAGGACCCAGCCCCCCCAAAAAAGCTCCCCAGCACCCACCAAAAGCCTAGGCTTCCCTGACTGCAAGAAGCCCTGCTTCCTGCCTTCCTGGCGACCCGCCTCGCGCGCGCCTCAGTACCCTTCTGGTCCCACCCCCGCGAAAATCCCCGCTGCCGCCCAGGAGAAGCCCTGCTTCCCGTTTGTGACGCTGGGTGCAGCGCCTACCGCCTCTCCCCTCCATTGGCTGCCCGTCGCTCAGTGAGCGATCGCCCCTCGTGGAAGTAGTTCTGGCTGGGTGCGTAAAAACACCCTCCAACAGGCCTCGTGCGCGCTTGAAGCCATGGCGTCAGTCGAGCCTGGCTGTTCAGGTGGAGGAAGGGGGAGCTGTGGCCCGTGTCTCGGGCGCTGCGAAAAGCTCGCCTCGGAACTCCAGGTGCCATTGTCTTGGCTCCCTCAGCCATGGTGGGGAGGAGGAAGCCGGTCCTCTACCTCTGGAGTACCTCTGGGGGCGCTGACCGGCAGGCAGGAAGAAGGCGAAGCTGTACAGTGGCGGCATCCTCATGGGCTGCATGGTGAACCTCTGGCCAGAGGGGGGCAACGGGAGCGCGCCCGCTTTCCCTCTCTCCTCTCCCCCTCCCCCAGTCCCTGTGCACCTCTTAGTGGCTGCGGTGCTCTTCTTCCCCTTATCTCTTAAGCGCATGTAATCAGAAGAGCCCTGCTGGGTCAGACCAGTGAGGATCCATCTAGTCCAGCATCCTGTCTCACACAGTGGCCTCAACCAGTTCCTCTGGAGGGCCAACAACAGCTGTACAGCTCATTAAAAGCTTCAATTAGTGGCTTTGAACACACAAACGTAAGGGAAGCCGATGTTGGATCAGGCCCATACACTCTGTGTCACACAGTGGCCAAAATCCAAGGGCCATCAGGAGGTCCGCCAGCAGGGCCAGAACTCCAGAAACCCTCCCACTCTTGCCTCCCCCCAAGCACCAAGAAGTCAGAGCATCGCTGCCACAGACTTAAGAATGTAAGAGAAGCCGATGTTGGATCAGGCCAAAGGCCCATCCAGTCGAACACTCTGTGCCACACAGTGGCCCAAACCCAGGGGCCATAAGGAGGTCCACTAGCAGGGCCAGGACTCCAGAAGCCCTCCCACTCTTGCCCCACCAAGCACCAAGAAGACAGAGCATCGCTGCCCCAGACAGAAGAACATAAGAGAAGCCATGTTGGATCAGGCCAAAGGCCCATCCATTCCAACACTCTGTGTCACACAGTGGCCAAAACCCAGGGCCCATCAGGAGATCCACCAGCAGGGCCAGAATTCCAGAAGCCCTCCCACTCTTGCCCCCCCCCCCCAAGCACCAAGAAGACAGAGCATTGCTGTCCCAGACATAAGAACATAAGAGAAGCCATGTTGGATCAAGCCAAAGGCTCATCGAGTCCAACACTCTGTGTCACACAGTGGCCAAATCCCAGGGGCCATCAGGAGGTCCACCAGTGGGGTCAGGACTCCAGAAGCCCTCCCACTCTTGCCCCCCCAAGCACCAAGAATATAGTGCATCACTGCCCCAGATAGAGTGTTACTTCTATACCTCTGCTTCATATGTTGAGCCAGTTTGGTGTAGTGGTTAAGTGCGTGGACTCTAAACTGGGAGAACCAAGTTTGATTCCCCACTCCTCCACTTGCACCTGCTGGATGACCTTGGGCAAGCCATAGTTCTGATAAGAGCTGTCCTTGAGAAAGAGCCGTTTCTGTCAG